GGGGTCTGAATACTTTCCGTACCCACTGTATATATATCATATATATATATGACCCCACATTTTTCTTGGTTTAATCTCATTCTTTCCGTTGACTCTCACCACAGCTTGCTTGATGTTCTGCTGGCTGCCAACTTTCCGTAATTAGCTCTCTCTCTCCCTGCACTCAAAGTGAGGCAGAGTGCAGCCAAATGTAAATCTCTCCAGAGGCTTTCCACAGTATGAACATGACACACATCTGGAGGATGCCAGATTCTTGACACGTTACAAGAACCAGTCAGTACGACCAGTGCAGGACCATTTGTCTTCTTGTATGCACTGCCACCTCCTTCGTCTTATTCACTTTTTCCATTCTGCACTCCCCCTCTCTCTCTTTCCCTGTTGTGCTAGTTTTTACTGCATGGCTCTGGTGAATGCACTCCCTTTAATCTCATGTCAGATGCTTAATGCACAGTTATTTTTTGGTATTTGGAGAAAACTTCCACTTGTTATGAAAGGAAGAAACAGCCTTGCATGTTTTTCCACTACAAAAATACCTGCTGGGTATGCGCAGAAGTTAATTGTTACTTTGTAAAACAGCTTGGAAGATGAATCATAGTTCAAAGCAGTTTAGAGAACGGTACATCTGAACTGAAGACGGCACCATATGTTGGGTAGTTTCAACATTTTTCAAATGTTAACTATATGTGCATGACCATACGGGGGAAAAATCCTATTAAATGTACAGAAAGACAATAAAAGCTGTTTATTTGCATGCGATCTTCATGTACATGTGTGCAGGCTGTATCAGCTGGGGGAAAGGTTGAGTGTGGAGTGAAGCATTCTTTCCATTACCCTGACCAAATCAATGCACTGAGCTCCCAGCCAGAACACCACTTCCCCTCCCCCACTCCAGTGGTGACAAGGGGGCCAGTGGAAAGAGCTGACCCAGGCGCAGCACACTGGCTGGCCTAATTGCAGTTCTGGCCTCCTGCTTCTTTTCTTGGTGCTTGACAGTGGTTTCCCTAGCGCATGTCCTCTCTATACGGATAAATACTCAAGCACATGGACATGGGAGCAACTGTTGCAACTATATCCATTGGTTGTTAAAGGAACAGTTCCCCAAAAATTAAAATATGCTTAAAATGTTCTCATCTTCAGGCCATTCAAGGTAAAGATGAGTTTGTTTCTTCATCGGAACAGATTTTAGCATTACATCACTTCATCTCTAACCAATGGATCATCTGGAGTGAATGGGTGCCGTCAGAATGAGTCCAAACAGCTGATA